CCTCTTCCGATTTAGCACCTTTCGGCAACTTTATGGTAATTTATATTTTCTGTTTTGATTTTAGGCAAATCGATTATTTTGAAACGTTTTTATATTATTATTACACTACAACAGCTTATGTATCTAAATAATATCAGTTATATCTTCGATTTTCTTAATAATACAATAAAACCTCCTAATTGAAGAGCCAAACTGTCTTTTAGGGAGAGAAGTTCTCTTACCGGAGAGTTGCTAAATAGTAAAAATGGTCATTTTGAAAATGGAAATTTTCCTTTGTAGAGAGATGTCCTCTAAAGCGAGTATCCTCTTATGGAGGTTCTACTGTAGTAAAATAACCAAATAGAATATAATGTAACCTATTTCTGTGTGTGTACCACATACGTTCCATGTATTCTTCAACTCAACAACTTAATAAATATTACCACGTGGAAAATTAGGGAAGACAAAAACTTCAGGAGGAAACAACAATTTATTTCAGGCAAGAACAAACTATGAATGGTAAACAAAAGATAAGCGACGAGGGAAATTTACAGAGTAGCAAAATATAAACATAAAAAAATAACCACTTTGTTAATAAAAATAATAAAATTAATAAATACTTTGTTACAATATCTAAAATTAAAGATGAAAAAGAGATTATATGAAGCTATATGAATCAGATAATGATATGATCATATATTGTAATATTTACAAATGTATTAATTATAAATGAAAGAAAAAGGCTATGAAAACATCAAATTTTTAGGTTTCTTATATTAGTATTGAATATAATTTGCTTATTGTAATAATAGAAGGTTATTTGATGGGTAAATGTATTTTATACTGGAATATAAATGGCAGAGGTTCATTGTATTAGCGTTTTTATTTCTTTGAAAGACGATCGTGTCGAGATTTCTGTCAGCAAATTAATGAATGATTATGGAATGAAAAAAATAATTTTAAATGGCTGGTTAAATTTATGTTTTAATATATGTAATTTTTATATATAACTTCTATATTTGAATTTTAAAATATTGAAGTGAAAATAGGGATTAATTAAACAAATGCTACAGTTTTCTGAAGTTGATTTTCTTTATTTGACGTAAATCTTGAGTTTTCAGGCATCTCTGTCCTTCTACAGGAGTACAGAGATTACGTTTAATAAAGATAAAGAAATTCATCTCCAGAAAACTGTAGCATTTGTTTGAGTAATATCTAGGATATTCAAATCAATTGATATTGAAAATAGGGATAACTATAAAAAATAAAGATAATTTAGTTATACCCGGCGTTGTGATGTATACCTACTGGACCAAACACAAGGATGTTTCTGTAGAAAGCTTGTAACAGAAATCTGCTGTTTTCTAAGTTAACTTCTGTTACCATTTTTGAAGATGTTTAGACATTCCGTTCATCCATCTCAATTAAGGTCAGAAACGATGCCAAGTAGGAGTTCTCTGTTGATTCTTTCTTCATCTTTATTCTTAAAATAAAAATTATT